GTGGTCGTGGTCAGCGACGCTGGCCGTCAGCGCCTTCCAGTCGAAGTCGCCCGCCGTGACCTCGGAGCCAGCAGCCTGCTCCTGGAACAGCTCGCCCAGCGCGCAGTAGGCCGAGATTTGCCCCAAGTCCGCCGCGGGGACTTCGGAGATGGCGCTGAGGTTTGCCCTCATGGCCAGTCGACCGTTCGCAATCTCGGCCTCCAACCTGCGCTGCCTGACCGTGGCGTCGGTGCTGAAGAGGCTGATAGGCCTCCGTCCGAGCTTTCCGGGCTTCCTGTTAGGGTCCGAGTTGTGCCCGAACGGGCCCGACTCGCAGTAGAGGCGATGCGCCAGGATCTGCAGCCAGCCAGGTCCTGACACCTTGGAGAGGGCAGCCAGCCGGTTCGGGACGCCCTCGAACTTCACCTCGGGTGACGGGGAGGTCTCGCCACGGAACTTGCCAGCAACCTCGGGCGCGCTGTAGCCCAACGCGGCGAACATGCTCACGCGTCCACGCATGATCTCTGCCGCGCGGTGCCTCGTGAAGGCCGCGGCGCCGCCGTCCTTCGCGAAGCCAGCGGGGCCCCAGAAGTCCACTGACGCCCGCGCGCCCAGCTCGCACTCGAAGGCGCGCAGCGGGGAGACCATGATCGGCGCCCGGTCGTCCCACGCGCTGCCCGAGAGGCCGTCCTGGTCGAACATCCCGATGATCGCCATCACCGCCAGCCTTCCGTTCGCGGTCTCGGCGTTCAGCTCGCGGGACATGGTCACGCCGGCCGGCAAGGTGCCGCCGTTGGGCACGCACAGGACGCCGTCGTACGCGCAGTCACCAGGAGTCGCCGCCGCCGCGCCAGCGGCCTCGCCGCGGGCGGCCGCGGGGGCGGCCGCGGCGGCGCTGGCCGCGGCGGGGCCAGCGACCGCGGGGGCGGCCGCGGCGGGACCAGCGGCCGCGGCGGCCACTGCCGCGCCGCCGCGCCGGGCCCGTGGGCGGCGGCGCGTGCCACGGCGCCGGCGGCCGCGGCGGCGTCGCCGCGGCCAGCCGCCGCCACGGCCGCGGCGGCGGCGGCGGCCGCGGCAGCGGCGCCGCCGGCCACGCCGAGGCAGCCAGGGGCCGCGGCAGCCCGCGGCGCCATCCCCGGGGGCGGCGCCGCGCGGCGGCTGGTGGCCGCGCGCAGCAGGCGGCGGCGGCGGGTCGCAGGCGACTCCGCCGGGGGCATGGCCCGGCGGGCGGGGGGGAGGAGGGAAGGACGACCTCCGTCCCCACCCCCGCAGGCGGGGAGGCCGGAGGCCAGGGGCGGGCCCCCGGCCGCGGCCGCGCAGGCCGGCTTGGCCACCTCGAGCCAGAGCGGCTTGAGCCAGGCTGCGGAAGGTGGGGATACTTTTTGTTCGGCGGCCCGCAAGGAAAAGTCCAGAGGGCGTGTCAGAAGGCAATGGGGCGTAATGCCAGATAATTAATGAAGGCCAGGTCACGACTGGAGGGAGCCGCCAAGAGGGCGCCAACCCACACACGAGCAACATGCAGAACCGGGCAGCAAGCCAGAGTGACCGACTGTCCTAACAACAGCCGACCGGAACGGCGAGCAGACACTGCTCAGGACAAATTCGGCAGGAAAAAGAGGCGCAAAACCAGATAATTAGAAGGGACAGGCCACGGACGGTAGAGACCGCCAGAGGGCGCCAGCCCACGCACGTGCAACATGCAGAGCAGGACGCTGCGAGACCAGGCCAGAACATTAGACCGACTGTCCTAACAACAGCCGACCAGAAATAGAACCGGCAGGCGCATCCCCTGCACAAACAAGAAGACAAGGGGGGGAACAAAAGAGCGGAGCTGAAAGAGGCGGACTCACTCACGGAGCACCCTGTGCTCGTCGGCGACCCGACACCGGTCCACTTCACGGCACCTATCAAGTGTCGGTCAGGTCGGCGACCGGGGGGAAATGTCGGACAGGAAGAAGGGGACCTGTCGCCGTGAGCACCACAGGATTTGGAAGCCAGATTCAAAAGGCGATGCCACTGGCCGGCCCACGTCACCCAAGGCGACCACCGCCGCACCACGCAGTGTGAGAGGAACACCTCATTTCCAAGAAGTGCCCCATGAATGGCCAGAGATCCACCCCACGTGGTCGCCTCTCTGCCATGGTGGCGCCGAAGGAGAGGGGAGAAGCAGCCGATAGCCGCGGAACATTGAATATATCGAAGGGAGGCGTCGGATGCAAACGCCTCCAAAGGAGGATCCAACACGTGAAGTGGGGGGTCGTGGCGCGTGGCGCCGTCGTGGGGGCGAAGCCACCTCGAGCCAGAGCGGCTTGAGCCAGGCTACGGAAGGTGGGGATACGCGAAGCGTCAAGAATTATATTGTGTCCGCGCTGCCAGGGCTACGTTCCCCAATGCATTATACGGTGTCGGCCCCCCAAAGGCCACGATCTCTCCTAGATTACGCTGCGTCCGCGCTCCCAGGGCCGCGATCTATTGTAAATTACGCTGCGTCCGCGCTCCCAGGGCCGCGTTCCCCAGTAAATTAAGCAGCGTCAGCCCCCCAAGGACCACGATCCCTCCTAAATCATTCTGCGTCCGCGCTCCCAGGGCCACGACCCAATGTAACTGCGCTGCGTCCGCGCTCCCAGGGCCGCGTTCTTTAGTAAATTACGCTGCGTCCGTGCTTTCAGGGGACGCGCTCCCTTGTGAATTACGCTGTGTCCGCGCCCCCAGGGCCACGTTCCCTCGAAAACTAAGCTGTGTCAGCCCCCCAAGGGCCAGGATCCATCGTAGATTACGCTGCGACCGCGCTTCCAGGGCCACGACCCAATGTAACTGCGCTGCGTCCGCACTCCCAGGGCTGCGAAGAAGGAGTTCGCAGGCCCCTCCGACGAGGAGGGTTGCGACTCGCCGCGCGAAAGGGCGCGCGGCGGGCACGTGCATCTGCAGACGGCAGACCCGTCGAGGCAGCGACCCGCCGACCTCTGAGGTCCGACGCTGCGAAAGAAAATGCCACACTGCGAAAAATCGCGACCAGGACGAGTAAGACGAAGCTAAAACATCACAAGTAAGACGAGTAGGACAAGTAAGATGAAGACGAGTAAGGCGAAAGAAAATGCCACACCGAGAAGATCACTGAACAAAATCACACCCGAGTTAGACGAAGCCAGGACGAGAACAAACTCGGATGAGCACAAATCGAGAATGTCTGAGATCGGCGGCTCTGTATCGGGCGCCACGGCCTTCTCAAAGCGCTCCAGAGAGCCCTGAGAACGTTCCGGGACACTCTGGAACGGATTCGTCCTCGTCCCAGCCCCGCCTGACAAAGCCCTGGATCCCATCCTTCGGCATCTTGCGAACTGGATCGATCCTGCAAGGACGCTGGGATTATCCAGGATAGCTCTGGTACGGCGTAGCTCTGGCTTGGGCCTCCGACGCAAGAACCAGGAGTTACCCCTGACCACCCCCAGCCCCGATGATTCGGGAGTGGTTGGACGCCCGAGTTATACAGGATAACTCTGGCCGGGGTAGCTCCAGCTTGGGCCCCCGAGCGAACCCTGACCCCCCCAGCCCTGATGATTCGGGGCCCTGGCGATCTGCGATGGCCCCAGGGCCCGAAACTGGCGGAAAGCGCCCCGAAGGACAAACAAAAATGACGCCTGAAATGGACACGGAAAAGATGGTACGATGCCGCACAACAATTGTTCTCAATTATCCTGGCGAAGGTCCCAACCATATGCAGGTGTGGGTACCGTAATTGTGAATATCTGCTTCGGTGGAGCTCCCTATGGGGCCACGAAGCGCTGCACTGGGCGGGGGGGAACGCTGTACTGTGTGGGTGGTGTGCCGAATTGGGTTTCCGGGACGCATGCGGACGGTCCCACTGAGGGCTTCGGTGGAGCTCCCTATGGGGCCACGAAACGCTCGACTGAGTGAGCGAAAATGCCAAATTGGGCTTCCGGGACGCATGCGGACGGTCCCACTGGGGGCTTCGGTGGAGCGCCCTATGGGGCCACGAATCGCTGTACTGCGCGGGTGAAAATGCCAAATTATATTTCCCCGACGCATGCGGACGGTGGCACTGGCGCCTTGGGTGGAGCCCCCTATGGGGCCACGAAACGCTGCACTGGGTAGGTGAAAATGCCAAATTGGGCTTCTGGGAAGCATGCGGACGGGGGCACTGGGGCATTCGGTGGAGCTCCCTATGGGGCCACGAAGCGCTGTACTGGGTGTGCGGGACACATGCGGACGGTAGCGCTGGGACCTTCGGTGGGGCTCCCTATGGGGCCACGAAGCGCTGTACTGGGTGGGTGAAACGCATGGGAGGAGGGGGAGGAGGGCCACGAAACGCTGTACTGGGTGTGCGGGACGCATGCGGACGGTAGCACTGGGACCTTCGGTGGAGCTCCCTATGGGGCCACGAAGCGTTGCACCGGGTGTGCGGGACGCATGCGGACGGTGGAGAGGAGGAGGGGGCAGAGGAGGAGGGGAGAACGCGGGGACCGTTTTTCAAAACGAAGACCCAACACCACAGGATGGTTGGGAAAAACCGACAGTGGCCGCTGTTGGCCAAGTGGCCTTCTGTCTCAGATGGGCAAAGCCCGCGGCGACACCGACAACGAGCAAGATAAGCAGGACATGCTGTGGGTCTTTGTGCCCACCCTTTCCGCACCGAAAGCTGTCTCAAAGCAGACACGTTGAAGCAGCGTCCGGCTGACCCGAGGCGCGGCCAGGGGAATCCAGCGCAAATCCAAAAAAACCGAACAGACCGCCTTGAGCTGAGGCAGCGACCCCTTCGCTCCCCCTCCTCCTCGTCCATTTGCTCTGCTCCTGCTGCTACTCCCTCTCCTGTTCCTCCTGCTCCTCGCTGCTGCTGCTCCTCCTGCTCCTCCTCCAGCCGTTCCTGCTCCGCTTCCCCCTCATCCTCCTTTTGCCGACCGCGCCGACTGCGGACGATTTCGGACGACGACGACGACATACGACGACGACGACGACGACGACAACGACGACGACGACGACGACGACGAGCCCCGCCCGCGGACCTTGCCGAGCCGCGGCCCGATGAGCACCGCGCCGACTGCGGGCGCCGGCGCTGGACCACGCGGTGCGGCGCGCCCGCCGCCGGCGCCCAGGCTCCGCCGAGGTGGGTTCCCTCGGCCATGCCGGTGCTGCCCGAAGGCTCCGAAGGCTCCGCCCACGCGCCCTTGGCGACCAGCCGCAGCTGGGGGAGTGCTGTGCTCCACCCACCCGGGGGCTCCCATCGTGCTGACGATCCCTCGAGAAGGTGGTCGACGCCAATGGGTCCCCCAGGGGGCTAAGGACCACAGCTCCCTCAGTTGTGGCCCGTCTGCCTCGGCCATGCCGGTGCTGCCCGAGGGTTCGCAGGGCGGCCGCTGCCAGTGGGCCTGACAGAGGCCCCTTCATCATCATCAGCATCATCATCATCATCATCATCATCATCATCGTCATCATCATCATCGTCATCATCATCGCCATCGTCATCGTCATCGTCATCATCATCATCTCAACGCTATCCCGTGCCACGCCCGTGCTGCGTTCCACTTTTTGGTGTGTGGGCCGGGGGCCTGGGCAGCCAGGTCAGGGGCCGGGACGCTGCGGAACCCGGGCCTGGACGAAGGAAAAACATTTCAGCGCGCTGAGACACGAAACGAGGCAAGGAAGCGAGCAGGGAGGGAGGGAAGGGGCGAGAGAACTGAGTCAGAACGTTTCGGACGATAAACCCTCGCGGCGCTCAATCGCTAATGAGATGACAAGTGAGACAAGACCATCTCAACACTATCCCGCGCCACACCCGCGCTGCGTTCCACTTTTTGCTGTGTGGGCCGGGGGCCTGGGCAGCCAGGCCAGGGGCCGGGGCGCTGTGGAACCCGGGCCTGGACGAAGGAAAAACATTTCAGCGCGCTGAGACACGCCCGACTCCCTAATGGCAACGTGGCCTCCGGGGGCAATCCAAGAGAACACACTCGCACCTGGGGCCGAATACTCAAGCTACATTAACTAACGTTGACGTTCTGCTGAAACCGATGCAATCTCCCTGACACCGAATCATCCTGGCAAAGAACTGTCACATTTTCTTACAGTACGGCTCGGCCCGACGAGTCCAGAGCATGCCGGTGGTCCTGTCGACTCCGGACAACGCGATATGACGCTTGCTAAAATAGCTGCACATTCCACCCCGCCCCCGACAGAGACAGGGAGGCGAGGAGGGAGGATGACAGGGGGCCCAGCAGGTCACCCGGGTGCGTTTTCGCTACGGGGCCCCGAGCGAGCAACTATCGAGCATATACGTCATACAATCGGTTTTCGAGAGCATCTCGGCCACCGCCGGGGCCGCCCACAAAAAAGATGCCCCAGGATTCTCTAGATACACTGGGGTGGACAGTCGGCGGCGCAAGCTAATCACGCGCACTGTAAAACGCATCTGGGCATTACCTGAACGGACGGTCTGGAGGGGTCTTCCCGAGAGCCCTTGGAGCCCCAGAGGAGAATCCGCGGACCTGAGAGAGCACCAGGAGGTCCCAGGGGGGCCGTGCCGCGCTCGGCCCCAGGAGGCACAGGGGGTGCCCAGCCAGAAGGCCCGGACAACGCGAGACTTGTGCCACCCGAGAACCATCTGCTGGACTGCGGGGCGGCTTAGGTCATGCCACGGCCGTCGTCCCTGGTCGAAGTCCAGGGGGAGCGCGGCCAGGCCAAGAGAAGATACCCGGGCAGAGAGGCCTCCGGATCCAGCAAAAATCTACAGAAAAACCGTGCGGGCTTTCACTGCACGTTTCGGTGCTCTCATGTAGTTGAGGTCCTGCAACAGCCTGCGACGCACCGCGCAGGCGGGAGTGGGGCCGCCGCCCCGCCCAAGAAGATGCTCGCCAGCGCGGCGTCGACCGCCCTGCCGTAATCCAGCACCCTGGCCGGAAGCTTCGCCATCTCCGCCAGGATCCTGCCGGGCTTGGCGCACCGCAGGAACGACTGCGGGCTTGCCCAGCTCCCGCGGGCCTGGATCTCCAGGGCGGTCCGCCTGCGCGCCACGAGGTCGTCGGAGGCCCCGCCGTGCCGCAGCTGATGCGGAGGCGCCAAGGCGAGGCCGAGCTCCTCCGCGGCCGCGCGCATCTTCTGCCCGAGGTCGCCCGGGGGGTAGCTCCACACTCGGCCCCTCAGCGAGCGGCGCCGCCTTCTCAGAGCCAAGAGCGACGGGCCGAGGAAGCGGAACGTGTCCAAAGGCACGGTCATGTCCCACATGCCCGTCTTGCTGGGCACCCCCATCTCCTCCGGGAAGAGCACCGGCGCCGCGACACCGCCGCTGCCGCTGCCCTCCGCGACGCTCTCGACGATCTGCAGCCCGACGAGAGAGTCCGCCTCCCAGGGCCTCATGTAGGTGCTGAAGCTCAGGGCCATCGCCACGACGTGCTCCGTCAGCTGCCACCGCAGGAGCACGCCCGCCAGCGCGGCCATCACGAGCCAAGGAAGGGGCCGTCGCGAACGGCGAGGGACGCACTTGCCCCAGCCCGCCAGAGCCCTTGAGCACCGAGGCAGGCGCTGTGCCCCACCTGCTCAGGTTCGCCACGAAGTACTTCACCGCGCCCAGCAGCTTGGACGCGTCGTCCCCGCTGTACCCGAGGAAGTAGAGCAGATTGAAGTACTCCACGAGCACCGAGTCCAGCTCCGCCGAGCCCTTCCAGTCCCGGCGGTTCTCGAAGGCCCAGGCCACAAAGGCCTGCACCCGCCTGCGGTAGTCCGCCAGCACTGGCTTCGAGATCGACCTCTGCTCCAAGTAGGTCAGCCCCGGCCCCGGCGCCACCCTCGCCGCCTCCCGGCACCGCGCCGCGGAGGGGGGCCGCCTCCGCAGCAGCCCCCGGCGCGGCCCCGGCAGGGCCAGGGGGCGATCCAGCGCAGCCACCGCCCCCGGCCTCGGCGCGCGGGCTCTCTTCCCGCCAGCCACCCCAGGGAAGGCACAGGCCAGCAGCACGAGCTGCAGCGGACGCCGGCCGAACCTCGGCCAGCACGCCCAGCTTCTGCGTGTCGATGCACAGGTAGCCGCGGGACGGGCGGTCGGCGGGGTTGAGCTCGCTGGGGACCCACCGCGCGCGCAGCTGGAGGCTGCAGGCAAGCGCCAGCGCGCAGAGCTCACGCAACACGCTGCGGAGCTGCGCCGCCGAGCCCCGACCCTTCCCCGCAGCCAGGGCCAGAGACAGGTTGTCCACCAGAAGCCCCAGGCGACGCCCAAAAGCGCCCCGCGACCGCAGGACGTGCCGGAGCGAAGCGGACAGGGCAAGCCCCTCCTTGTAGTAGATGTCGCGCTTCTCGCGCCACGGGAAAGACAACGCGATCTTCCAGCTGGGGTCTTGCATGAACGACGCTGGGACCTCGCCGAACTGCTTGTCCAGATCCTTGACCGCCTCGCTGGGCAGCGCGGCAGGTCTCCGCAGCGAGGTCGCCACGCCCCCCCCCGTCCAGCGCGTGCGGGCGGGCGCTGATGGCATCGTCGAAGTGGTACCGCCAGCGCTCCACCGTCCACCCCAGCGTGGCTGCGGCGCTCTGGCTAGCCTGCCGGACGCAGACCCCACCGCCCCACGGCGAGGCGTCGGAGGCGGAGACCTCCGGATGACAGGAGGCAGCCAGAGCAACGGCAGCAGGTTCCGAACAGTGCGGAGCCCCCAACGCACCGAGGCCCACAAGGGCAAGGCCTCGCCCCGCGCCGCCTGGCAGAAGCGGTAGCTCGCGTCGAAGATGGCGAGCGACGGTCTGCGCAACAGCATGATCCAGGCGCAGTGTCCGAGGACGACCTCCGCCATCTCCCCGCGCGCAGACCCCCGGGCCAGCAGCTCGTCGATCGCGCATCGCACCCGCCAAAGCCGCTTCGGCGACACACGAACGCAGTGCGAAGTGCCGCACAGCTCGAGCCCCACGAACGAACAACTCCTGCTGGCCCGCTGCTGCTCGTGCACCGCGAAGCCGAGGCCGACCAGCTCCGCCCCCACCCTCGCCGCCGTGGCGTCGACGTCGGTCTGGCTGGCGCCCGCCACCAGATAGTTGCCCACATAGGCGGCGGCGCCCGGGCTGTCCCGCTTGCCCAGGTCCAGCCCCTCACTGCGGTCCCGCACGTGCCGCGGCACTGGCGCTCCGGCCCGCGCCAGGGCTGACTCCGTGACCATCTGGCAAAGGTGCATCCCCCAGCTCCACCCCATTTGGAAGATGGTAAGCTGAGGGTTGAGGCAATCGCCACAATCAACCGCCGCACCATCCAGAGACGCGATGCCGACCATGCCCGCGCGAACCCGCCCGAGCTTGAAGAACGAGCGCAGGCCTGCAGGGATCCGCATCGCATAGAAGGCATTCTCGATGTCCCCGCAGGCGAAGAAGAGCGGGGCAGTCGCATCACTCTCCATCCGAGAGAAGGCAGCCGCCGACGGCAGCTCGGTGGCGGGCGCCTGCCGGAAGTGCAGGCTGACCAGCCTGGCGTCGAAGATGAGCCTCTGGCGGCCCCCCTTCTTGCGGACCGTGAAGGCCCCCAACGTAGGGGCCTGTCCGTCCCATCTGCAAAACTGGAGCATGCCGCGACGGTGCAGCTGCCCGAGAAATCGCCCGTAAACCTTAGGGTCTCGTAGCCCAGGATCAGAGTAAGGAGCGCGTAGTCCCGACTCAGCGCGGAACTGAGCAGCCTCCTCCGGGCTTCGGAGCACGTCGGCCTCCCAATCCGACAGCCGCGCCGCGTCGGCCGGCTGGAGGGCGGACTCGAGAGACACAGGGGCCGCCCCCTCAGCAGGCCAGGAATCTCTGTCCTCGCTGTAGGATGCCAAATCCGCCCGATCCATACAGTACATGGGGCAGGCGCCGCAGAGCTCGCGAAGGCTCCCGCGGGGGCGCGCGTCGTCGGGCGGCCCAGGGAAAGCGGTGCACTGCTCCCGGATGTGCTCGAGCGCCATGTGCTGCAAAACTGAGGCACGACGGGGGCCGCTGCCGCCGCGCCCTGCCAGATCGCTGAGCGACCCAATGCCGAGGTTAGCCCACTGCAACGAATGCACCAGTCTATCCCGGCGACGCCCCGCGGCACGGCAAGCCTGTCGTCGTGCAGGTAGATCGCGAAAAAGAGGAAGAGGAAAGACATTTCGCTGACGACTGGGGCCCATCGGGCCACTGGAGCGCGACGTCGAAGCTTGAAGGGGCCAGTGAAGGTCGGCCTACTTCCTTCTCCGGCGGGGCGCACGGTGGCCCCGTTCTCGTCGAGTCTTCTTCTCCTTCTTGCCGCCGCCGGCGCCGGCTCCTCCGCCGCCGCCGCCGGGCGCGCCCAGCTGCCCCCTGTGGTCCCTTGATGCTTAAATTAAGCATCAGAATCGGCAACATGCGATTAAGCATCAGATCGCACATGCGATTAAACATGCACAT